CCCCCCCCCAAAAATAATCCAAATCTCACTCAAATCACCCTCATCCCTCAACCAAAGAAAAATCCAAATCTCACCCTCAGGAACTAGAATGCCCCTTAAATCTAAGGATAATCAAAATCTCACTTTCAACCACCTAGATCTGCCCCCCCGCCGCCCACCCCAGAACTCCCCTTCAGATCCCAGATTGTACTCTCTTCTCTCCATCTATCCCACTCTTCCCCCATCCCAGATCCCCCTCAACCTCTCCAGATCCCTGACACCCACTCTCCCCAAATCCCACTCCTCAGCCCCCAGATACCGCTCAGATCTCAGATCTCAGATCCCAGATCCCACTCAGCCACCACCACCCGCCAATCGCGATTCCTGCATACCTCAGACCTCACTCCTTTTCATCTCTCTTTCCCCCTGACCGCCCTCGTACTCTCACTCCTCCGGCTCTCCTCAACCCGGAAAGTTGGGATTCCGGGTCCCATCCTGTTGTACCCACTGGGGTAGCTGCTGCCCTGCCTTGTCTGGACGTGAGAGACCCTCCCTCAACAAAACCATGAACTCTCCATGTATATCTCGCCGGCACACTGTCCTGTTTATCCCTCGATTAACACCATCCCCAAAGTAGTCTTACACGTAAAATATAAAAGTCATTATTGCTTCTTAATGAGAGCTTGCTGAGAATCCAACAGGATCCGAGTGTCACCCGTTTCCCAGGCTTACCCCGGACACCAAGTCGCACAAATCTTTCAAGCTACCCATGGTTACGCCTTGCAGTCAGTGCTACTGCTTAGGAGAGACGCTATGCTAGAGCTGCCTGGTCCGCCCTCTCTATTTTTATAGCTTTACAGCGTAACAAAGGCTGACGCGCAAGAGGCTGCAACTGACAGCAGTGAGTCACCCGGGGCGGAACCGAGCCATTGCTAGGGCTGGGCTTTCTTTCCTAGGGAGGTATCGGGGTTTTAGAAACCTCCGGGGGGCGGCAGAGAGAAGTCTCCAGACCAGGGAGAACTGCTGTGTGTGTGTGTTACAGGATGATCTAATCGAAGTCTTCAAGATATTAACAGGAAAAGACTGCGTACATAAACTATTTCCACGAATAAACCATTTCCCATTCTAGGACTAAGGGGCCACTGTCTGAGAATTAGGGTCAGACCATTCAGGAGAGATGTTAGGAAGCACAAAGGCACAATGTCAGTTGATGCGGGATCAGTGGTTCATTTTAAATCCGAGATAGGCAAATTCTTTTTAAGCAAAGGGATATGGGCCAAAGGCAGGCATATGGGGTTATGCCACAGACCAACCACAATCTCATTGAATGGTGGCAGAACAGGCTCATGCGGCAGAATGGCCTACTCCTGTTCCTGTGTTAAAGGCAGTTCCGAGGAAGGGGCACTGGACCAGAAATGTTAACTCTGATTTTTTCTTCATAGATGCTGCCTGACCTGCTGAGCTTTTCCAGCAACTTCCGTTTTTGTTACAAGTCACTGTGTCAGTCATAATTAACCTGACAAATAAAGAACCCAGAAGTAAAATGTACCCAGCTGTGTATGTTGTCAGATTGCTGCTGTCCTTGACCTTTATTTCTCTTGTGTGATTATTTGTCTCTTTTCCCCCTGTCTCTTTCTGTGATTTCCGGTCTCTTGTCTGTCTGTATGAATGGATTTTACTGCCTCTTGATAACTATGTGCAGTAATTTCACGAGTTATTTCAACAAATAATTTGTAAACAAGTCTAAGTAATGTCAACATTTGACTCACTTCCCCCAATTTTTGAGAATGATATCATTGTGCAGTGAGTCCCATGTGTAAGATTATCAGTACTTATTCTGTGTTTCTATACCTCCAAGTTTCGAGTGTGTGTGTGTCTATCCATTTGTGTGCCTTTGTCTGTGTATCTGTGTATCCCATGACTGAATTTACTATGTGGGACAGTTCATCTTTGTGGGTGTGTCTCTCTCTGTCTCTTTCTGCCTGTTTCTGTCAGAGAGTAGATCTGTGTATGCACCTATACAGCTCTCTCTATCGTAGAATCCTTACAGAGTGGAAGCAGGCCAATCAGCCCATCAAGCCCACACTGACCCTCAGAAGAGCATCCCACTTAGACCCAGCCCCTACCTTATTCCTCTAACGCTGCATTTCCCATGACTAATCCACCTAACCAACACAACTCTGGACACTATGGGCAATTTTGCATGGCCAATCTACCCAACCTGCACATCCCTGGACTGTGAGAGTGAGCCAAGGCACTTTCCTGGAAACGGATCTGGTCTCAAGTTGGTGTGAAGGCTGGTGGAGAGAGGAGCAAAGCGACATAGGAAGGCAGAGCCAGCATTTGTAATAACCTTCAGCCGGTAGTGCCGAGTGGACAATCCTTAGAGATCTCCAGTATCACAGATGGCAGTCTTCAGCCAATTTGATTCACTCCACATGCTATCATGAAATGCTTGGAGGCATTGACAACATTTCAGCAATAGTACTGAAGACTTGGGCTCCCTAGCCAAGCTGTTCCTGTACAGTTACAACACTGGCATCTGACAATTCGGGAAATTGCCCAGGTATGTCCTGTACACAAAAAGCAGGACAAATCCAACCCGGCCAATTACCACCCCATTCGCAATCATCAGTGTCGCCAACAGCGCTATCAAGCAGCACCTGCTCAGCACTAACCTGCTCACTGACACCCAGTTTGGGTTCTGCCAAAACCACTCAGCTCCTGATCTCATTACAGCCTTGGTTCAAACATGGACATTGGTGGGCTGAACACAGGCTGGGAGAGCCAAAAGGCCAACTATTTTTGAAGTTCCTAAGCTGTTCTTGAGAACTTACTGTGGGCAAATTGACTGCTGTATTTCCCACATTGCAAAAGTGACGTTTCATTGAAAGCTCTCATTACCTGTAAACCCTGAAGTCATGGATAGGAAGTCACTTTTTTTTTGCAAGCAGGTTTTTATTTTAATATTCACTCTCAAGATGAGGGCATCAATGGCTAGGCCAACATGTATTGCGCACCCCTAAGTGCCCAGAGAGCAGTTAAGAGTCAACCACATTGCTGTGGGTCTGGAGTCACATGTAGGCCAGACCAGGCAAGGATGGCAGTTTCCTTTGCTAAAGGACATTAGTGAAACAGATGTTTTTTTTTCCCATCAACTGGCAATGGATTCATGGTCATCATTAGACTCTTAATTCCAGATTTTTATTGAATTCAAATTCCACCATCTGCAGGATTTGAACCTGGGACCCCAGAACATTACCTGGGTCTCTGGATTAATAGTCCAATGATAATACCACAGGCTTTCACCTCCCCTTAATAGGTATTTTGGGGGGTGCTGACAGGTTCTGCAACCTGAGAATGATGGGGGAAATGTCTTCCTTGACATCACTATGTGGATAATGCTCAAATAGGTTCAACACAGCTCTTTATAACCCGGTCTAGCAATCACCTAATGACCACAGTTGCAATGTTGGACTTCATGCTGTTTCCTTTTACTGAGGCTCGAAAGACTTGTATCAGAGTCACTGCTAATTCCTCAGCTCTGTGTGAATCACCTGTAATTATTCGAAAAAATCCCTGGGTGATGAGCATACGTGGGACTGGATTTTCACTTCTACAGAGGAAATGTGGTTTCCATTGTTGTGTTTAGTTGACAGTCTTCAGATGCCCAGAAGAAAATGTTCTCAGTGAAGTTCAGTGACAGCAAGTGACCAGAGAGGCGGAAGATGTTCCTGGAGCAACAGAGACAGGACCGCCGTTCCAGAATTGGAATGAGGGGGTTATGCAGAGGGTCAGCAGGGAGGAAGTGCAGTGAGTGGCTGTACATAACTAGGATAATACTGCTGAAACCTGCAGAGAGAGAGAGGAGGTGAATTACCAGAGTCTGAGAGCAGGAGAATTCTTTAAACCCAGCAAATTGTTATGCTTCCAGACTTGAGGAATCTGTGACTGATTCAATAATAACTTTCAAAAGGGGAATAAAGAAAAGTTGCAGGATTGTGGGGAAAGAGTAGGCGAATAGGACTAATTGCATGGTTTTATTCCTGATGAGCTGAGGGGTCTGGCCTTCTTCTGCACTCATTCTTCTGTGGAGAGAAGGTTAGAGAAACTGATACAGTCAGAGATGGAAAGATAGATCAAAAAATAAGGATTTATATATTGGCTTATAGGCATGAGGTCATTGCTGGCAAACAAACACAGGAGCAGGAATAGGGCGTTTGGCCCCTTGACCCTGCTCTGTTATTTGATAAGATTGTGATGATGTAATTACTCCATATACCTGTTTACTACCCCTCCCTCCCACCGATAACCATTCACACTCTCAGGCCAGCATTTATTGCCATTCTCCAATATCCCTTGATGAAACAGTCTACATCAAACAAAAAAAAAGCAAAAGAACTGCAGGTGCTGGAAATCTGAAACAAAAAGGGAAATTGCTGGAAAAGCTCAGCAGGTCTAGCAGCATCCGTGGAGACAAATCAGAGTGAACATTTCGGGCCCGGTGACCGTTCTTTCAAAACGGAAGAAATCACTGATTCTGAGTTGACTAGGATTGCATCAAGTGCAAGCTTGATAGAATAAATTGGAAACGATTTTGTGTTGTAACCCAGTGACTGCAGCTAACCTCAGTCACTGAGCACTCAACAATTATTTGAATAAATTGACTCTTTAATTCAGTCCTGGAATTTAAAGTGTATGTGTTCCTGACATATGGGGAGTGATGGCTGACCGTGTTCAGTTTGTCCACATTGTGAGTCACTCTATTGTTAATATGTAATTTTCACTTTCTGTTCTCAGTTTTGTGTTTGACCCAGTGAACAGGAACAGTGTGAGTCTGGATATAGTGTTCACCTCCTCACCTACATTGGCACAGCACTGCCTTTTTGTTCAACTTAACAAGGAACCTGGAAGCGTGGTGGTGAGAAGTTTAACTTATCAACTTATCAACAAAAATGTGCAGGTTAGGTGGATTGGACACACTAAATTGCCCCATAGTGGCCAGGGATGTGCAGGCTTGATGGGTTAGCCATGGGAAATGCAGGGTTACAGGGATAGGTGTAGGTGGCTGGGTTTGGGTCGATGTAGACTTGATGGGTCTATTGGCCTGCTTTCACACTGTAGGGATTCTGTGATTCTATGAAGTTTAAAACTGACTCTTTGTGATATAGAACTATGGACAGATAAACCTTTCAAATTGGTCAGATACAAAGTAAAACTACTTTTACTCTTTCAAACTGAAAGTAAACCTCCACCCTCAGTCCACATTGTCCCCATCAAACATTTTCAGACAGGAATAGCATGGGGTTAGATGCCGAGTAAAGCTGCCTCTACACTGTCTCCCATCAAACACTCCCAGGACAGGGACAGCAGAGGGTTAGATACCGAGTAAAGCCCCGCCACATTGTCCCTCATCAAATATTCTCAGACAGCACAGGGTTTAATATAGAGAAGAGTCTAGGCCCAAAACGTCAGCTTTCCTACTCTCTGATGCTGCTTGGCCTGCTGTGTTCATCCAGCCCTGCACCTTGTTATCTCAGATTTTCCAGCATCTGCAGTTCCTACTATCTCTGAGTAAAGCTCTCTGTGCTCTTTTAAATTGAAATTTAAGCCTCTTTTACTCAAAAGTAAATAGAAAGTAACATTCCCTCTATGGTTTTAGTAAGTAAAACTTCCCTTACACTGTCCCCATCAAACATTCCCAGGACGGGTACAACTTAGGGTTAGATACAGCGTAAAGCTCCCTTTATTCTTTTAAACTGAAAGTAAAGCCTTCTCTACACTGCCTCCATCAAAAACTTCAGGTGTCAATGCCAGTTGAGTGTAATCTCAAGTTCCATTTACATCTATATATCTGC